TCTGTAAACAAGTACAGAATCGGTGTAGCCCATTTCAATAATGGGGTTATGTTGTTTTAAAAAACATAAAATGGTGCAAAATGAGATAAAACGTCAGAGCTTTCTTGTGTTTTATTGTATCTAATGATGCTTGCATTATACTTTGCATGCAGGCAAGAAGCTGCATCCTCCTGAGAGCACCTTGTGAAAAGCTTCAACATGTTTTCTTTAAGGATGTACAAGGTTCTCCTGTAGGGGTGGCTGATAGTTTAATTAGATGCATAAATATTCCCCAGGTGAGTCTGTCGTGGCGGTGAAAGAGGCAACGCACTTTGCAAAAACAGAGCAGAGTAGAAAGTAAGGAAAAGATAGACCGATTGAAAGGAAATTAGAATTGTCCTCAAAGGCAAAATAGCATGAGTGTGTCTGTTCATTTTAATAAAGCATGTTTAACTTTCAGCTATATTCTGAGTCCTGTGGAGTAAAGAAGAAAGAGAGTGTAGAGCGAGAAAGACACTGCGAGAGAACGACTGATGATGAGAAATAAAGGGAGAGGCAGCCAGAACTCCTTGGTAACCAAAGCACAGAGGAACAGAGGGGCCGGTCCTACACCCCTCCCGCTGTGTGTGTGTATGTGTGTGTGTCTCCAAGGACTGGACTGCCTGAGGGAGGAGTGGTGGACCGTGTGTGTGTTTAGAGAGAGAGAGAGAGAGATAGGGGTAGAGGCTCATTGTCAGCATAGTAGGCGCTCACACACACTCTTAGACAAACCGCCGTGTAGTGAGAATATGAGCAGAGGAGAGCCGACGCCAGCACTTCCTCGTCCCGTCTTCTCTCTTTTTCTTGTTCCTTGGATTTATCTGGGGGTTTTTTGTGCCTTAGAAGGGCACTTTTTTTTTTTTTTAAAGAAAGACACTCAAAAGACACTCAACCGGAATAATGGTGTTCATTGGGACCTCGTTAAAATCTGTGATTAAATACTTCAAAAGGAAGGGTGAGATATGTTTACTTCTTTTCTGTATTGATCATTAATGTATCATATTAGCAGTTTGGACTTAAACTATAACAAATGGACAGCAGTTAGTTAGAACTTGCACTGATTTGCCTCATTTTGACTTATAATTATTTATATGTGAGTGTCTGAATTTCCTACAGCTTCCCATTTGTTTCAGCTAATATGAATAGTCATTTTAAATCGCTTCATTTAAGCTTTTCTCTATCAAAAGCGGGCACATGCCAGCTTTAATGATTTGTAAATAATTTTATTACAACTAATGGTTTCCTGTGGGCATATTACTTCACTGCTGCCTCTGCTGAGCCTAGAGACAACCCTCTGTTGCACAATGTTACCAGGTAACCACTGGGCCAAGACTTCACAGAGCCGACAACTATTAGCACTAAATGACCCAACAGCATTTGTAAAGGTAGCAGCTGGAAGCGCTTAAAATCACCGCTACTCTATTAGAAATACTTTTTTCCCTTCATCTTGGAACAATTTTGAAGGTTTTTTTAGGTTTACTTCTAAATGTTTCAGCTAATTTGAGTTTGATATCAAAGGAAAACATACATGGTCTGTGCCTGTACAGTAGATTATGGTTACGACGATTAGTTAATGATCCAAGGCTATTATTTTATCAGTGGCTGTGTATTAAGCACATGAGGATGTTTAGCAAAGACCTGGTAGGTGCAGGGCAAGCTGCTTGTGTCGACTGTAATCTCAGGTGTATTTATAGTGTGTGTTTGTGTGTGGCAGTCAAGGCTGAGGTGATATTATTAATGATTAGCTCAGTGTTTTTTGTACTTCTCACATCTTAACTTGCCATCTTGCACATGCTCGCACTTTGCTCCTGATCTGAGCTCCTTGCAGTCCAGGGGGCAGAGGGCGCCACACTGCACCCCTCATGTCCTCAGCTTTTTCATAATAATGAGAATGCACAAACTTATTAGACATAGAAAGAGGAAGAAGTAGATTTACAAATTCATTTGGGTCTAAGGTTAAAAACTAATACATAAAATAAAATATAGCATTTTTTGAATATTTTATATTATTAAGATGCCCTATAGAGTCATGTTTCCTAAAATAACTCTTAACTGAGATAATTGTATGCTTTTGCAAACCTTTTAATTACTTTACTACATGTTATGTCTCAAATTTTTTCTATAATAACAAGTCTATGCCAACCCTTACGAAACACAAGAAGTTTGAATATGAATGAAAGTCAGTGATCTATTGGCTGGTGGGTGATTGGGAACCCAGTCAACATACATATTGTCAATACAAATTGATCACTGTTATTGATCATACCAGCTTATAACTGCTGTGTGTGGGAGATACATTTTCCGGGGATTACTTCATGCAGCCTTAAGCTCTGGTTCACCTTGTAGCCTGTTTGTGTCTTTCAGCGTTTTCAGTAGCCTGTTTGCTCTCAGTCTGCGTTTGTTAATGTGCATAGGGAGAGCTGGGATGTCAATGGACAGAGGGATTAGCAGACTTCTGAAAGACTTTCGCGCCACAGTCCGGTGTGTGTGAGACTGTGTGTGTGTGAGTGTGTTGAGGAGCTGGGGGTATTGTGGCACTGAAAGGCCTGATGTGGAGACTGATGCAGAGGGACAATACAAGCTTTGTGTCCACAGTCCTCATGTCCTTGGTCTCCTCTAGCCTGGTTGAGGTCTATTCAAACTCAATGGTCAGAGGGCTACAATGGGGGAGGGCTACCTGTGCTGAGTGTGTGTGGCAGGGCAAGGAATTTAGAAATGGAGCATTAGTTGATAGTATACTCTCATTCGTCACAATCTTGCTCACAGGTATGTTTTGAGATCCAAACCAACTACTAGTCTGCCTTTAACCTTCACATTTCAGATTCACAACTGTGTGCCAGTGGGTTTTGTGGTAACTGCATGTGTGTTTTCAGTCTCATGCAACTCTCCATTCAGAGGTGTTTTGCCTCGTGATGTATTTTATTGATTATTCTGACCAGTGCAGACAGCATGTGTATTAACACGGGTAGACATTCACAGTGACACACTGTTGACATATACACACTATCAGTCTGAACACATCACACACCTTCAGTGCAGACATTATTGACCCCTTCAGGTATGTGGTGTGGCTGACTGACTTCCCCCGTTTTGTTGCACTTGCAAATCCTAGTGTTGTAACTGCCACTTGTGAGTGCCAGATAGACATGATTATAAGAGGTTAATTCTGCAACATACATATTCTACATACCTTTCCGTTCCTGCTCTTATTTCTGCTGCACACATCACACCCTAGGTGTTACACCTCACTCATAAGGTTGTTATAGCTTCAAGACAATAAGCACTGTTGGACCTCGGCTTGCTGTCTGTGTGTGGTATTTGCACTCTTACATGTCTAAGCATGCAACAAATGTGCAGGTTTAAAGGTAGCAGCAAAACTGGGAAGAAAAAGTTCTGTCTTTGGTGAGTGTGTGGGAACATGAATAAACACAATGACCCCTCGTCTAAAGGCCTCTGCACACCAACCCGATTATTACCAGACAGTCGGGCGAGGTCGGTGA